TTGGGTGGGTTTTGGAGGCAGCTGGAGAAGTAGTGGGGGCCAGGTATGTCCACATGTAGGTGCCTGAGCCCAGCAGGGATATGAGGTCCTGGAGACCCCAGAAGGGGTAGAATGGAGAGCATTGAGAGGCCCCACAGAGAGTAGGGCTGACGTGCAAGTAGGTCTGAAGGACAGCCCAAGGGGTGTGCTGATTTAGGGTTGAATGAGAGTAAACTTGAAGGACAGCACAAGGACCAGCCCTGTGAGAAGTTGTGCCTGGTGAGAGGCTTGGAGCAGAATTAGCCCAGGGTTTGGCATAAGGCTGACCCACGTAGAGTAGGGGAACTTGTGGGAACCAAAAGTTCTGCATGGCCAGGCCAGTATGAGAGTTGTGAAGCCTAATGGTCCAAGAGGGGCTGCTCAAGGAAGAGCAGGGCAGTGGAGTGTGGCCTGGTAATGGGCAGTATGCCAGAGGCCCTGGTGAGACAAGGGTGGAGTGGAAGAGGCCTCCCGTGAGAGGGGAGGTAAGTGCGTGTATCCCAACTTTGGACAGTTTGTTCTGATCTCAGACTAGTTGCGTTCCCCTCCTCACCCCCATCCTTCTATTGTTAGTCCCTTGTTCAGGCACTATGTATTTCCCTACCGGCTTTGTCAGCTTTTTGGATTCACAATCCTAAACATTTACTAATAAAAGTTAATCTGGATGCCATCTGTGAGGCATAGGCTGCAGGGTAGGGAAGTTTGGAGCTACAGATAGTGCCCCTTGACATCAGGGCAGTAATGGGCAGTCTCCCGCATGTACCATCCATATATGGGAACAACGAAGTCATGGCAGGTGAGATTGGGCATATTGCCCTGTAGAGACAGGTGGGTGGGTCAACATGAAACTCAGCCCCAAGAGTAGCCACTTATCACACTGTGATACAAACCAGCTCTCTCTTGCGAAAAAGAGCCATATGTTACCACCCCATTATGCCCACTGCTCATCCGGAAACTGCTCATTTAGGAAGCAGCAGAGCACTTCTAATCCTTGCTCTGGCAGACTTAGAGCAGGGATTTGAACTGCTACGTTTCATATCCCAGGAGTCTGTTCTCACCACTAGCCTATCAGAGTATGCATATTGGAAACCATCATTTGAGACCTCTTTTTGGCAAAATAATTTATATTGATCTGAGAGAGAGGCACAAATGCTCAGTGGTCGGTATGCTCACATTAATACAGGAGTGTCAAGTTAAAGTCCAAATCTCTAATCTAGAGGAAGGAGTGGAGGCTGGCTCTGTTAAATCATGGACTCCTGGAAGCAGGTGTACAGCACACCAAGTGTGAAGGTGGCTGCTGCTCGTGTCTGTTCAGCAAACTGAAGGGGCAGAGCCTTGTGTTTACATTCTTGCAGCTGTAGCTATTGGCTGAAGCTTGTGCCTGAAACAGCAAGCAACTGTTCATAGTATCTTATGGAGGCTTGTGATATAGAAACATTTATATGAAGAACTACTTGCAGTAAAGAACTAAGTCTCAAAACTGCAACTTTTCAAGCATCTGAAGCCTAACCATATGTAACACAGGTGCATCTAGGCACATTAGGCTAAGTTAATGAGCATTAAGGGTGCATGTCTACATGTTCACACCTTTAACTTCACCATTTTTAATGTGTATTAAGCTATTTGCACCTAAATCTGATACCTGAATATGCAGGCATCCCATTTAGGCACGAGTGCTTAAAGCACATTAAAGGACATGTAGACAACTTAAAGCGTGTTAATTCTCTGTGTGGACTGACTTGGGACTAACTTTCGTTAATGTGCTTTAATGCCTGTTATGTGTAGATGTATACCTAAACCCACTTAATGAGCATTAAGCTAATGCACATTAAATTTAGGTGTGCTTAAATGTATATGTAGACACACCCACAGAGTAAGTCCTCTTGGAAATGCAGAATGTCCAGGAAGGGTGGCATCCCAGGTAAAGTCTGCCATATCAAGAAGTTCCTGATGCTACACTTCCTTAACACTCTGTGTTTCCAGGAAGACTCTGTCATGCAGGTAGCCATGACTCTGCAGAAGTCCTTTTCTACATTCTGCCTTTTAAAAAAAGGCATGGTCCCTATTTTATTTGGGGCATATTGTTCATGAGGAAATATATTACTTTTGTCTACACTTGTGCTCTTCATTTCTTAAGTCATGTTGAAGTGTCTAAATCACTTTGGTCTTGCTGTGCTCAGCAGAGAAATCTCCAGATACCTGTAAGAACCTGAACTCTGACAAATGTACCAAGTGTTGGAAGTTCTCGCAGTAACTGCTCTATATTGCTTGATCCTTAAATTTATGCTTCTGTCTAGCCTGTATTCAAATTACAAATAAACTAAAAGTAATATTAACAATGCTGTACTTCAAACAGGTTATGAGCTTCATGGTTTGGAAGACATACCAGAAGGACCATGTGTTGTTGTTTTTTATCATGGAGCTCTTGCTGTGGACCACATGATCTTTCTAGCGAGGTACTTTATCTTGACACACCGGATGTGTGTGTCAGTAGCTCATCGTAATTTTTTTAAAATACCAGGTAAAATCATTTTTATTGTATATAGTTAAATACTTTCACATATATTAAAGTGGTTTTTTGTTTTAGTGATGTCTGTATTCATAGTATTTATGAGGTATGCTAATTAGTACAGTCACATGTTCCAATACTGTGGTCTGATGTTAAATTCAGGAATTGAATGCAACACACATCTCACAAATTTATAAACAATTTGCACACAGCACAAGTCTTTATCTCCCCCTTTTGGGCTTCAAAAAGTTCTGGGGTGGTTTCATTATCCGCAATCTAGCATGGAATTTCACTCAACCCTTTATGCAATAGAAAGGTATAGATTTACCTAGCTTGCTGGCTTTTGCAGGAGGGCTTTGCTCTCTGTAGAGCTCTTCCAGCCAGTTGTCCAAAATAACACAGTCCTCAAATACCACACAAGCAAACAAATGAACAAAAGCAAGCTCTTCTACTTCATCTTGGGCACTTCAGGAGAAAGCTCTGGCTTCTTGCACAGCAGTATGGCCCTTTCTGGCTGCAAGCAGTCAAGTTCATTGCAGCTCCCTTCTGCTCTACACATTCTTCTGGGAGCTGTTTAAGACTCCTAGCAGGACTCCTGCCTATCCTAATGCCTGCACCTGGGCTCTTTCAACAGGGCTGACTGTTTTCTGTTAATAGACTCTTCTCTATTAAAAGGGATCCTGGTTTTCTCTGATAAAAAAGCAAACCACTTTTTCAATTAAAAAAAAAAAAAAAGTAACCCCAAATTCACACTTTTCCATGATTAAAATGAAACGCCACTATATAATATAGTGGAAAAAAATTCCAATTAAAAAATGGAACTTTTATCAGAGAAAACCAGGATCCCTGCCTATTAAAAAGGTTTTGTTGGATGCTTAATTTTTGCATTGCCTACCTTTTTGTCTTAACTATGACAGCTTAACGTGACTTTGTTGCAGAGCATGTGATTCATTGTGTAAATTTATCATAGACCAATGGAATGTTCCGTGTGACATAGCTCAGTTGCTTAGTGTGTATTCATGTTTTAAAGGAAAACCTGAAATAGAAACGAATTTATATTGAATATGACTTGAAAGGGGGAATTCTTGGGATCTCTTATTTTGACAATTTTATTTACATTTTAATAAAAACATGTTTTTCTTTCTTTTTACCTTTCTTTTAACTAAATAAAGAAGAACAAATGAATATATTCATGTATAAGTGTTGGAAGGGGTCTTTTCTCGAAAATATAATGTCAGAAGTGCAACACTTATACCAGGGGTAGGCAACACTCTCTGCAAGCATGCCAGAGTGGGGCATGTAATGGCATTTTGCTTGGCACAGGTGCCTCAGGGAGGATGGCTGGGGTTGCACTGCCACAACAAGGATCGGGCCCCTCTCTGCTCCCCTACCACCCACCCCTGGAACACCAGCATTTTACAAGTTGAGGTTGCAGGTATTTTTGGCACTTTGCCCAAAAACACTGCCAACCTCAGGCTTCTACAATGTTTTCCTCCAACATATATTTCTTAGTCTTATATTTTAAATACTAGCCAATTGCCCATCATAAATGACACAGCATTTAAGGAAGTGTTTACATGCCCCCCGCTCACCCTTTGGGGCCAGCCACGTAAACTGTCCCTCTGCTGCCAGTGCCTGCTCCTCCAGCCTCCGGTGCTGGCAGCTGCCTCCCCCACTCCTGCCTGCCTCTGCCTCCTCCTGTGGAGAAGCAAGACTTCCCTCTGCCTGAGGAAGTGGCAGTGGCAGCAGCTCCCTCCCCCAGCTTGCCTGCCTCTTCCCCCAGAGCAGCGGGGTTCTGCTCCACCTGAGGTGGTGGTGGCAGCTCCTTCCCCCCTGCCCACCTGTCTCTGCCTCCACCCATGGAGCAGCAGGGCTCCCCTCCGCCTGAGGAGGTGGTGGTGGCAGCAGCTCCCCTCCATCCCCGCCGCCTCTACCTCCACCTCCTCCCACAGAGTAGCAGGGCTTCCCTCTTTCTGAGGAGGTGGCTGCAGTGGCTCCTCCCTCCCCACCCACCTGCCTCCTTGTGCGAGCAGTGGGGCTTCCCTCTGTCTGAGGAGGTGGCAGCGGCTCCTTCCCCACCACCTGTCTGCCTGCCTCTACCTCCTCCCATGGAGTAGCGGGGCTCTCCTCCCAGCTGAGGCGGCAGCAGTGGCTCCTCCCACCCCTCCACCCACCTCCACTTGTGCTGCCACCTGAGGCAGCAGCGCCTCCCTCCCTGCCTGAGCAGGCGAAGCCCCCATAGCCAATCATCACCTGCCCTCTCGGCAGCGCATGCACAGTTGCCCAAAAGCATTACGGACAGACAGACACATAGACTAAGCCCTTTATTCTATTAGAATGTAGCTAGCCATCAGACTTCTTTTAATGAAAAGTTTTTAAGCTACAATATATTTTTTTGTTATATGACTGCTGTATTTGTTGTATGATTTAAGTTCTATTTTAATAATTTATTTGGTACATATTTTTACAGGTCTTAAATCAGTTTTAGAAGCTTATTCATTTATAGTAGGTACAAAAGAAGAATGTATGGATGCACTGAAAAATGGCCGAGTAGTGGCTATTGCACCAGGTGGAGCTCCAGAAGCACTTTTTAGTGACAAAACTTACAAACTCATATGGGGTCACCGTAAAGGCTTTGCTCAGCTGGCTATAGATGCAAAAGTGGTGAGTAAAAACACCTGTTGACATCAATCCTGTCAATGGATATAAGGGTATTGGCAGGCAAACAACTACCACAGGGTACATCAGAAAAGAGACTTAGGTTTAGTATTACCAACTGGTGTATAATAAATTCTGCTGAGCATAGGCTTTATCTGATGAGATAAGAGCTAAACCATAACAATTTAGCCCTCTTTCTTTGAGATTTGTCATCAGCTAACACAGCTGTCCTTTTGGCAGAATTTGTTGGGTGTCTTACTATTTTAGACAGACTGGCAGCATCTACATGAAACATTACTGCACAGTGATTACTGAGAATGTATTTAGTACTTGTATAAACAATTACTAAATAAATGCACAGCAACCTGAGTTACTATGCAATAGTGCCTCCAAACACCTTTTTTTTGACACTACTGTGCAGAAACGTAATACTCCTGCTCAGTAGTATTGCATCACGGTTTTTGCCACGCAACACTACTTCGCAGTAGTATCAGACTACTGCGCAGTCAGCATCTCGTGTAGATGCACCCACTATTTCCAAAACAGAGCTCCTGTTATCTTTACACCTAAGTCTCCATTTTCCTTCCTTTCCTACCATTCTCCCCACCTTGGAGGTCTGCAATTCTGGCTGCCTTTTGTCTTTCATTTACCTCCCACTTTTTTCATATTTGTGTGTGACCTCATACACATCCAGGCCATGTCCAAACTGTGCTGTCAATGCTTCATAAGGACTTTCCTTCCATACTGTAATGGGTTTGCCTCCAGAGACAGCCAAGGGACCCCTGGTGGGTGTACTTTAACCATTCTCTCACTTCAGCTCCCCCTGTCCCCAAAGGGCTGCCTTTCAGGGCACCAGCCCCTCAAGGCCCTTTTTTATGTGTTGGTCCCTGTCTCAACACTTCAGGCTAGAGGCCAGGCTATATGCGTCAGTCCTTGAGCTTGCAGCTCAAGAAGCCCTAGTACATCTCTGGCCTCTGCCACTCTCTCCCTCTCTCTTCTCAATTCTCAGACTGGCATCTTGGACCCTGAACTGGGCCCTCAAACCACAGGCCAAAAATGCAGAGTCACATTACTGGCACCTTCAGTGACAACACCCTCCACAGGGCACGCATTCATGGCTTCCTCTCTCCCTTTAAGCCATTGCAAACCTCACAGTTAAACAGACTTACACAGACTCGCATAGAACCTCTTTCTCATCCTGAATACTGCTCCATGCTTCAGACTTCTAGTGCTGCTGGCCCCAGCCTTGCTGCCCGGGTATCATGGGTGGATGGACCACGTGGACAGGGGCTCCCTGGAGACTAGCCCAGGACCCACAGAGCAAATCTGTTCATATCCCCATGCCACTATAGATAAATACACACACAGGGAGTTTTACTATAGAGCAAAAATACAGAACTGATGGCAGTATAATGCTGAAAGCAGAGCGCAATTATAGTGTATCTTAGTATTTCTGCTGTGCATAAAATTTGGGTCCTAAAATTGAGCCATATTATAGAGCTTGGTTGCACCTGATATTTTCTAGCCTCTTGATAACTTATTTATCATGAAAACATAGAATCATAAAGTTTGGCTGAAAGGGAACTCCATAGGTCATCTAGTGCAATCCAGTGAGAGGATCATCCACATCCATAATAAACCCTCTTATCAAAACTACACAGTCATTCCTGACACAACCACGACACCTAAGCTGCCACAGGTAGAGCAGGGAGACCAATGTGGCTAGTGTGCTGCTGCAGCAAAGTTGGTAAAATATGATTTGAGGTTAAAGGAAGAGGGCCATAGGAAAATAATAATTAAAAAAAAAAGGTGTTTTCCTGTTTCTTTATGGTAAGACCTTCAGACATTTGAAGACTGCTATCATGTCACCTCTTAAGTACGTTTTCCATAAGCTAAACGTGCCTGTTTCCTTCAACTTCTCCTCATGTAACTTGCCTTCCAAGCCTTTTATCATTTTTATTGCCTGCCTCTGTACCCTCTCTACTTCTCCATGTTCTTTTTAAAAGGTGAAGCCCCAAACTGCACACAATACAGGTCTATGAGGCCTAGCCGGGGCTTAATAGAGAGGCACCATCACCTCCCATGTCTTACAGCAATAGATACATTAGGTGCATCCCAAAACTGCATTCTCCTGTGTAGCTACTTTACACTGCAGACTTGGATTGAATCTGTGATCTATCAAGACTCCCAGATCCTTCTCCATAGTGGTGCTGTCCAGACAGGTGTTGCTCACTTTCTCTTTACATTTGCTATTGTTCTTCCTGAGGTGTAGTACCTTGCACTTGTCGGTCTTGAACTTCGTTCTGTTACCTCCATCCCAGTTTTTCAAACTGTCAAGATCCTTCTGAATTGCTTTCTTGTCCTCCAATGTATCTGTGAGCTTTCCTAGTGCTGTGTCATCTACAAATTTGCTCAAGAAACTTTCTATGCTGGAATCCAAACTATTAATAACTGTGTTTGAATAATACTGGGCCCAAGACAAAGCCCTGGAGGACTCTACTCAAAACCTCACACCTTTCTTACTTGGATTCGTTTGTAATTACCTTTTGCTTCCAGCTGTTGAGCCAGTTGTCCATTTACCTTATAGTAGTTTTCTCTAGCCCCCATTTCTCTTAATTTATTTATGAGAAGGTCATGTAAGATTTTGTCAAAAGCCTTGCTGAAGTCAGCAAGCCACAGAGTCATAAGGCACGCCTACATGAGATGCTTAACAGTGAATTAGCATAGTTTACTGTGAAGTAAGCACATGGGTCTTGATGTGCACATGCTTACTTCAAAGTAAATCTCCCTAATCCTGAGTAAATATGCTACCTGCAAATGCAAGTAGAAAATTTACTTGGCATTAGTAATGGCACCATAGTACTCATGTAGACTCCTGTCTGGGAGGCAAATCTGCTCCTGGTCAGCCATCCACGGGGGGCAGGTGATGGCACCCTGCACCCAGGAGCTGCCTGCTGCCAGGGCAGGCTCCACCACAGCAACCTGGGGTTAGGGGGTTTGTGGGGCTTGGGCTGGATACCCTTATCTTCCAGCCTGAGCCCCATGACTACAGGGCTCAGATTGGGTGGTTAAGCATCTCCCAGCAGTGGTCCATTGTCAGGAGCTGCTGCTGGGAGATAAGGATCTCCCAGCCTGAGCCCCACAACCATGCTGGGTAAGGGGGAAGGAGGGGGCTAGGCAGCTTGTTCCCTGCCCAGCTCCATGAGCACAGAGCTGGGGGGCAGGGAACAGGCTGGGGAGCTTGTTCTACCCACCAGCTCCACAAGTACAGAATTGTTACAGGGGAACAAGCTCCCCAGCCCCCACTCTGCAATCACAATTGCAATAGCAGAGCAGGGGCTGGGAGCTTCCTGCATGGGGACTGCTCTCTGTCTAGCCTGAAACTGGCTGGGACCTGCCCCTGAATAGGATGGTTCCCAGCCAGCTGCAGACTGCATGGGAAAGGTGGCTGGGGAGTCTCCTGTTTTTGGGCAGTCCTAATCCAGCTCTGGGCTGCATGTTCAGACTTCCCTGCATAGCCCAGGGCTGGCCAGGTACCATCAACCTCAGTACAACCCAAGACATAGTCCTCTAACTTGCCACAGATAAAGCAGAGAAGAACCAAAGTAGCCAATGTCCTGCTTCCATAAAAGTTTGTTAATATATGCAAAAAGAGATCCCAGGTTGAGGGTCATGCCCCGGTTACAGAAGAAGGCAGAAACCTCCAGAGTCCATGCCAATCCAATTATGGTGTAAAATTTCTTCCCACCCCCAATATAGTAATTGATCTGACCTCTGGTGTAAGGCCAAGCCTCTCTAGCCAGGAGTTTCTGGCTTTAAATTCTAGCAGAAGCATTGACACACCCCAGTCAAAACCCCCAGGCTTGGCTGCAGCAAACACCCAATGCCTCTGAGAGAGGCTTAAAAAAACGCTGATGCATGTAATAGAAAGGTGTGGGAGGGCAGGGTACGGGGTGTAGGAAGCCAGTGCAACTCCAAAGCATGGGAAATACCCATAGTGAATCATAGACATATCTACGCCCAAATCATCCCCAAACAGCAGCTGTCCAACCATTTCTTGAATAACTCCAGTGAATTCTGAGTGTCTAGGACTTCCCTAGGCAGTAATGAAAAGGCTTATGTTAAACAATACTTCACAAAGCTTTACTTTCTCCTTGGAGTGAATGACTACATACAGATTTTCACTGGGGATGGCTCCAAATCAGTGCCCATAAACCTGAAGAAAAGACTTGGAGTCCCATAGATGAACAAGAACTTCAGGACACCTTACTGAATGTGGTCTCTGCCTGAAGGCGTCAGTGACGTGCATTGAGTTCTAGGTGGCTACTCATTCAAATAGCATGCTACCACATTTATTTCTGGAAGCACCTACTGGGTACTAGGATTTTTCAGACACAGTATTCAGAGACTGTCCTGGTATATTTGATATGAAGTCTGTGGAAGTGGCCTGGGATCTGGTGGAGTAGGCCCATATCACAGCAGGTAGCTCCATATTGCCTGTCTTGTAACATAACCTTTGGCTGGACTGTCTCTGGGCTATCCATCTTCAATTTTTGATCTCTCAGGGGAACAGCTATGGAGATTTCTCATGTGACTTGATTCTGTACAGACGAGCAAGGCTACCAGGAGCATCTGTTGAGCATGTGTGGTACTGTCTCTGCTCAGATGCAATGGGGCTTCAGAAAAAATGCCAGGAGATAGAAATAAGTGACCCTCTTCCCAAGATTTTCACATGGGTTCTCGGAGTCATCTTATCTTGATAGAAGGAGGAAGTGCTCTTAGATAGTAACCATGTTTGTCTGTTTCTTTTTTTTAATTATTTTTAAGAAGCTGTAGATGTAAGGAATGCTGTTTTTAATAGAGAGTTGGAACAAAGAGTCCATCGCCCCTAGCTTGTGACTGCCCCATCACCTGTGTAGGAATCAATCAAGTTCAAGTCCCCTTGCAAGAACTGGATTGCTAGCATAGGGAAATACTTTTGCCAAGCTATTGACAAACCTTAAGGT